CGGGTCGAAGGACATGTGCGTCCCGATGAGAGACCTATGGTGAGTGGAACGGAGCGCACTGTATAGCCTTTTGGGGGGAGGCACGCCCACGCCCTTGTGCTCTCGAAGACGGTGGACCAAACCGTAGCGGTGTAGTAAACTCTAGCATAGACTCTAGCAGTCCGAAGACTGGGCAATCGGTGTCAATCACCGGATAGAACGGGCGTGCCGTGATGGATTGCCCACTAGGTCCACTGTGCTCAAAATCCACACCCCGGAGGAGGAGCTGGACCGGGTAACCATGCATGCCACTGTGTGCAGCGACGGCTGTAGCGTCGCGGAGCGGAGGAACGCGGTTCACGGACCACCGTTCATAGAATTCCTGGGCAGTCTCCCTATCCGAGCGCTGTGCGCTTTGAAGTCCAAGCCTGGCGAGTCCGTATGTTTGGTAGAGTTCCTCCCATCGGACGTGGGTGTGATGGAGGGAAGCATGGAGCTCTAATGCAGCAACAATGCCCCACCAATGGGAGGGGGAGGCAATGATCAATGGGCCCGTGGGTCGTGTACTGCCTGCCGTGAGCCGTTGGTGGGCGTCTTCCCCCGACATGGTAAAGCGCCCCGCCCTGTCAACAAGGCAAATGTCAACCGCCCCCGTGGTGCCAGCACACACTGTGGTGGTGAAAAGGTCAATAAAGGCGCCCAGTTCGTTGTGATGGTCATAAAAGAAGGAGAAAAGGGATGCGGCCTGCTCCTCAGTGGCTAGCTGCCCCGGAGGAGGGAGCTCTGGCAACCATTCCGAAATGAACTCCGCAAAGGAGGTGCCCTCAGCCACGACCCTGTGCACGTCACCTGTGTCGGCGTTGGCGGGGCGCGCATTGCTGAGGCCAAGACCATGCTTGAGAGAGTCAAAAACCCTAGTGGTCGGTGTGACGACCGTGATTTCCGTCCTGCCTGAACAGCAAATCGATGTCCGCAGACATTGTAAGCAAGGACCAGCAGGACACAGAGCAATTCCACTAAGTTCCCCTGGTGCATGGCCGAGGATGTCTGCTTCGGTAATCGAATGAAGTACACTCCCGGCTGATGAGAGCCATCAGCCGCGACTCGCTGCAGTCGCCGTGCGGGGGTATCCGCCGCCAGTTCTCCAATGGTAATCGGGCACGGAGAGGCGTCAGTGGCCTTGTGCAGGACAATGGATTGCGGGTACCTGACGGCAGTGATAAGCAGATAAAGATCGGCCAGCAATCGGGTGGAGGCAACCAGGGCTAAGTTCAAGCAAACCCCGTTAATAGGGGCTAGGCCTTCAGCTTGCATAGCTGTATTGGCCGGCGCAAGTATTGCGCCGACTGCCGACAGACGGTTGAGGTAGCACAGGATCGCTTCGCTATGGGATGCCGACTGGTGGAGGAAGTCCACCGCAATAGCCGCTGGCGTAAGGCGACCGGGGTGTGGACACGCCCGATCTCCCACCCTTGTGATGCCGGAATAAGGGATGAAGTATTTCAGCCCCTGACTGTGTGAAGCGGTCCCTGCGGGGTAGACTGCACCAAGCCACGCAGTGCAGGGGCGAGCCGCCCCGAGAAACCGGCTGCGGAGCCAGCTGAGCAATTCCACGGATGCCAACAGGTTTGGCGATGAGGCGGGCCAACGTGCGCAATTGAACCTCACCTTTGCCGCCTCCAGCGGGTTGTCGTGGGTCGCCTGTGCGAATGACAAGCTGGCCTTCCGCATTGGCAAGGATGGCAGCCGAGGAAGGCTGCCCCTCCTGTGCGCATTGTTGAGGAAGGTCTTAACCTCACTGTAGGAGGCACATCGCAGTTGCAACGCAGCCGACCCCTGTGTGAGCAGCAGCATGTGAGCGCTACTGACCGAAGGGGAGGCAAGACGCGCACTGCGCCCCGTTACCCCGGGCTGAACCGTGGCGATGTCCCCAAGCCCTGCCGCTTGGTGCTCAGCTGCCTCGGTGAAGGGCACATGGTCAAAGCACGGGTCGATCATTTCAGCATCGCCGGAGACCCTCCGCACAACAACGAGCGGACGCAGCCATTCTGGGGCATCGGCCAAGAGGTTGGAGGCGATACGCACGACTGCGATGAGCGCTGAATGCTGCTGAGCTGTCCAAAACACAGTTTGCTCCAACACAGTGTCCATGCAGACCAGAGCGCACCACAGGGAAAAGGTTTTGGAAGAGCCCGCGCACCCCAAGATGCTAAGCGAGCTGCGTCTTTGTGCCCGGGCGGCCAGGATGGCCGATATGTGTCCACTCAGGAGTCCATCCGGACTGCTGAGCAACTCATCGATGCGTCCACAAAAGGTCTGTCCCATGAGGGCAGCCAAGGTGTGCAACTCAGGTGGGATCAATGCCGCAGGCAAACGCCAGTTTTTGCTGAAGGGATCCCGGGGATTGGAGCGCTCAGCCACTGGATGAAGGGCAAGGATGCGCTTCTTGAGTGCGACAAACTCGGCCGGTGTCAAGTTTGGGGCAGCTGGGAAGTGAGGAGTGCGGGCGGCCGCCTCCACGGCTTGCAAGAAAGACAGCACAAGGTGCCCCTCAGCAGCGAAATGGCACCGGGGCCTCGGCGCAGGCTGGGTGCACGGCCGGATGGGCATGCCTATGGCCAGGGGGACACGCGCCGCAGGCATCTTCAGTACTTGCAAAAAGACATCGAGCGCCCCCCCTACTTTAATGCACGACAGACTGCGAAGGGAAAGATCCCAGCTGCAAACGTGATCAGGTTGCGGGGGGGCCCCAAGGAAAGAGGGCCACTGGCGGATGAGCAGGAGGGCAGCCGTGGGGTTAAGGCGGTTTTGGCGTCGCTCTGCCTTGCGTTGCTCGCGGGTTTTTCCACGGACCTTTTCAGGAACTACCAGTTCTACAAAGACTGCCAGGAGTTGCCCTTGGCGAAACTCTAACCGCAGAAGACAACCCTCGGAGGGAGGCCGGTTACCGCTTTGGCGATGCGAGAACCAGCCAGTGTTCTGCGATGGCGTAAAGCCATTGGGACACGACAAGCCAAGCACGTATGTGCCAAAGCTGAGACAGTCCTCCACCTTCAGCGCAACCGGTAGCGCCTGGGTGAAGCGTCGGGTGGTGTCCTGGTGCGACATCCGCCGGTTCTCCTGCCCAGTATCCTCAAGAGCAGCGCCCTGGCTGTAAACATGAAAGTGCAGAAAATCCACCACACGCTCGAGCGACAGCTCGCCGAGGGAAGTCTGCACAGGAGCGGGCAATGACAGGTTGACCGACTTCTCCTCTTCATAGCATCTAAGCCTGACTTCCTGAATGATCCAGGAGCGCAGCTCCACAACACAATGTGGCAGGGAGGCTGCCGTGACGGTGCGGACAGCCTCGAGGAGACGCGGCGGCAGGGAGTCCATGGAGACAAGCCGCTTGAGCGACTCCTCAGTGACGCGGTGCGGGAAGAGGGCAGCCATAACCCTTCCAACCTCACTATCTACAAGACCCCGACTACGGTAGAAGTGAAGGGAGTGGAAGGCCCACTCCAGTTCTTTCTCCAGGCTACGCAAAGGGAGGAAGGCACGTGCGGCGGTGACATCCACCTGGGCCGGCAGGGTTGGGCTAGCACGCAGGAGCAAGTGGGAGTAGTTGTGACACTGAGGCCCAAAAAGCTCTTCCGGCACATTGAACAACCAATGCATCCCTCCTGCACGTATACGTGGGGCGACCCGTATGGCGGCCCGCGCAAACTCAGTGGGCACCCAAGGGCACAAAAAGTCTTCACTGGCATGGATGATGCGCAACCGACACGGGAGGCGCAGGAGTTCCGCGAAGAGCCAATCTGGCATGCCAACGGCCCCAATGTCCACGGCTGCTGGCAGCGCAGCATCAGCCGCCACTCCACCGGAGGCGGCGGGCAAGCCCACGGGTGGGAAATGGTTGTCGCCCCATAATTTGCGAAGGAGCACACCCACCAGGCCCGCCGTGTAGCTGCCTGCAGAGAAGCCACGGACAGTAGGCCGCGCTGAGCCGATACTTGAGAAGGCAATGCACAGGGCCGCCAGACACGCGGAATGTGGATCCTGCAAGTGAGAGCTGCGGCGTGCTCTCTGAAGCTGCGCGTCAATGGTTCGGGCTTCCGGACTGGACGCGATGAACTTCACACCCAACATAGCGTGTGCTAACTGGATGACCGGCAGGGGGGAAAGCAAGAGGCTGGTATAGCGACCCGTGGCGCTGAGCCGCGCCGAAGCCGTCGCCGACAACTTGGAACATGTCTCCGCAAGGCACCCCGTGGGGCCGTAGCACTGTGTGGAACACATGAGCTGCCAAGCGTCGTTGCGAGCCGGGGCGCAAAATGTACTGGCGCCAGAGCACTCAATGCGCACCTCAGGGGACGTCGAGGGGCTGCCCCCACCCTGACGCTCGTCCTCATCTGCATGCGCCATGTCGAATCCCTTGACCGCTCGATAAAAATAAGATGCTAGCTCGTGGTCGGAGACGTCTACTTGAAGGATCGTGTCGTTTACTATTTGGATATGCCAGTTGAAGAAGATATTATGTTGGCTAACTGAAGATATAAGTTTTGTAAATCAAGTTATAACTCCTTCAAGTTTGGTAAGTGATTTATATATCATAGTAAGTGCAATCAAGCACATATAAATATTTGTCATGGTTAGTTTTCAAATACAACATTTAGGTAAATGGTTCATAAGTAATTAGTAAATGATTATGCATGAAATATATTTATTTGGATGACAACTTATAAGTCAAGTAAGTGGATTTATGCTGTGTTGAAAAGACACAGGAAAGCTGGCCAGACAAAGAGCAAACTTGCATGAAACACGTGCGAGAGCGGCATTTGGAGACATGCGACAGACTGCTTGCATGCATGGGTGCTGCATATATCATGCAAACATGATCGTCGGCAGGGCAATGCTCGTCGGCAGAATCATGTGCATGCTCCTCATGATTCATGAATCACATGCACTTTATATTCATGGCACATCAGCTGCTCAAGTGTGTCCGCACGGTTTTCGGTGTTTGCCATCCAGCTGGTGCGATGGATGCCGCTCTTCTCGCAAGGTGCGAGAGCATCCTTGACTCCGCCAAGGACGGCGAGGGGCTCGTGAAGAATGTTCACGAGTGCCTCACACTCTTGGAGTCCCGGGGGCTGCTGTACAAAATGGCTTTGCACCCGTCGATGATCGGCATATCGCCGCTCAACCGCGACGGGAGCGGCGTGAATGCCGTGGACGTCCACGATTTGCTTTCGGATATCTTGGCCGCAGGCTTTCTCGAGGACCGGGTCTCCGCGATCGGGGTGGAGGTGCAGTCTGCAGCCGAAGTGACTTGGAACGTGGAGTTCTTCAAAGCCACACACGGAATGCTGGGTACCTTTGACCCCAGCGCCATCAAGTGTCTAAGCTTGGCTGGCTCGCACACAAATTGTGTGTTGCGGATCCTGTCCCAAAAGATCCAGCACGAGGGAGACGAGAGCATTTGTCACGATGGACGTCTCAACATGGAACTGCTCCGCAAGAAGGATGAAAGCTTTTACAAAGCCGCCCAAAATGGGGTGACGTGGAAAGTTATCACCAAGGAAGCTGCAGCAAGTCTGCCACATCTGACGTCGATGGTACAAAGAATGGGAAACGCCACTCTTCAACGCCACGAACACGAGTTGCAGCTGATGCGTCGCCTACACGGCATGTGGATGCTCGAAGCAACCCAGCACCAACACGTTGACTTCATGACGATCAAGAAGCGAGTGACGACCGGAAAGACTGTGCATCACAAGTCTCTTCCACACCTCTACACTTTCGGCTTGAAGTTCGGGGGCGGTCGCATCCCGTTCTTGTTGGACGAGACGGAATCCTTCGTGAGGCGTCACAGCCCCAGCACTCGGAGCCTAGGTGCTGAGTTCTGGGACAAGATTTCCCAGGAGGTGAAGGGCACAAACCAATTCCCCAGGGCCAGGCATGCACTTGCCCCGTGATTCCGAAACAGAACATGTTGAGCTTTGTTGTTGCATGTGGCACACATTTTCACATATATGTTTATCTGACATTTAATTTCGAGAAGCCCAGGTGAAGCTCGCATATGCCAAAGAGATTGCTCAGGCAGCTGATGTCAAGAGGCTGTTACACAAAGACCTCCTGAGCGAGGTTCGCACGGCGGACGGGTTCATGCATCAGTGGCGATCGTTGGTAGAGAAGCTCCCAGAAGGCACGGATCTTCTGAGAATGCCCGAGCTTTCCACAGCTCTCAGCTTGGCAGACATTCATCTCATCGGTTTCGTGTTGAAGATGCCACTGGAAGTGAAGCAGTACACTTCGAAAGAGGCCCTGGCACACGATGTGGTTGTGATCATGCGAGGCATCTGCCACCGGCACATCGAATCGCCATGGGAGCAGCATGCCATGACAGTGCAAAGCGAGTCGGGTAGTAGCCCAAGCCCAAAAGTCACGACGATGCGGGAACTCAATCCCGATGGGACCGTGAAGGATGGCCTGACCCTTCTGCAAGATGCAGGCTTCACCATCGGATCGTTCTGTAGGAGGAAGAGCGATGGCCAGTCCGGCCAGATCGCGGGGTGCCAAGCTGGGAAGGTTCAGCTCAAGCAGATCGATGGCACTCTAGGCAAAGTCGTGATGGATGTGTTTCTGAGTGGAGATTGGGTGACCTACACTCCCAAGCCCGAGCCGGTGCTTCTCAAAGACATCTTGCAGTATGCCCCAAGCAAGCATCCTGATCTTGAAAAGCAGCGAATGCAAGCCATGATCACACTCGACATGTTGGAGTTGCAGGCTAAGCATGAAGCAAACACTATGCTTTCACGGCTTGAGATGCACTTGAAGCCGCAGAAGAAGGTCTTAGCCGTGAGCAAGATTCCCAAGAACAAGTTGATCGTGGTTCCGTGCTCTCTCCAGGTGAAGAGTGGCACGAAGCTGCCGGATGATTGCATCGAGATCATGCAGCCTTTGGCAGGGGTTCACTTTTGGTCCCAGCCCATGTTGATGCTGCCCAAGGCCGAAGGGGACCCCGGGTTTGCCAACCCGGCTTTCATGGTGCAGACCATACACGACGAGGAGGTCGGCAACATGGAGCTCTCTTACATCAAGAGTCACAGGGACAGCAAGGTGCACTTGCCGGTCCTGAAGAATCCGCGGGAAATCGCAGAGGGTGAGAGCCTTTTCATTTACAAGCCCAAGGTTGAAAAGCAGGTTGTGCCTCTGGATGCAGATTCCCCGAACCGACCCGGGAAGAGACTCCGCACTAAGGGTCCGGGACAGTGAGGCATGCACATCTCATGCACATGCACAGGAGGTTTCGTGGAAGCATTGGCACTTGCATGCATGCAGCCTCTGTGCTGGCACTGGCATAGATATCGATTCTGAGCGCCTGGCAGGATGGGTGCTTTCGAGCATCAGTGCAAAATGCTGCATGTGCAAACTTTGCTTCAGCTGCTCTTCGTAGTTGGCACATGACAGTGCCCAGTCAGTTTTGAAGTGTTCGTGCATGCCTGAGTGAATCGGTGCAAGAACTCGGATGTTGCCGGTTGCTGTGTAGCTCATGAGCTCTCGAGTCCTATAGAGATTGTTCCACGGACATGGCATCTGGTTCCGAACACGAAGAAGATGCTGGGCTGCGACTTTGCACAAAGACTGTGGTTTGGCTCCGGCAGACCCACAGCATATCACATGCACCATCATGCACATGCCACGATGGTTTTTGGGGAAGCATTGGCACATGCATGCATATATGCTTGCTTGGGCCACACAACGATCTTCATGACACCGCGAGGATGGCAGCATTGCAGCATGCAGCTGTGCAAAAAATGCCATTCGTGATCGCTGTTGTGGTGTGCTGTCATTGGCAAAGCCGCATTCACTTGAGGTGCTTGCATGTGCATGAGCGAATCCTTGCATGACATGTTACAGCTTGTATGTGTAGTTGAGCTCTTGTGTGCACACACCTCCCGTCGACATGGCTGATGATTCTGAACATGAAGATGACCGTGACGTTCGACTATGCACAAAGACCGTGGTCATGTATGGGAAGGGCGAGCAGTGGATCCCGACTCAGAAGAACGAAGAGGGCATGGTGTGGTTTTCGGTGAACGGCAGGTGGGACAGAGGCTTCACGAAATTTGTGTTCGGCAAGGCCCTAGATCTCCGGAAGGACAAGGATAGCCGGTCGTTAAACAGCAAATTCTTCGATGACTTGGTGACCCAGAGACAGACGACATTCAACGAAGTCATCCAAAAGCGCCTGCAAAGCGAAGACGACGACCAAGAGGACACCCCGCCCCAAAACAAGAAGGTCTTCAAGAGTTTCAAAGCCACAGCTGCCAAACATCAACAATATGCCCCGTATTACATCGACATGCAGTTGCCTGCCATCGAGGAAGGTGGCCCGACTCCCACAGCAAAGGTTCTCTTCGAAGGGCTTGGCAGTCATACTTTGTGGTTTGAACTTACAAAGGCGAACTTGCGACACTTGAAAGCTGGCTTTGTGAACTCGGAGAGCAAGGACCGGCAGCCCCGAGGAGCCAAGAGAAAGAAAGAGATATAGGCGGCTAGCTTTTTCGCCGGCAGGGCAATGCTCGTCGGCAGAGAACATATAAGCACGAACATGATGCAATCCCGACTCGTAGCTCATGTGCATGCTGGAAATCAAGAAAAGTGCTGCTGTCTTTTCTATGTTTTTCTATATTCATAGGAAGAAAAGTCTTTATATCACCAGCTCCATGTCAGCAGTTGGGTTTATAGGGGGGTTGTGCTTGGTTTTGCGATTCGCAACTGTCCTGCAAGCTTGACTGATGGCTGTTGATCATGTCAGGATACAATGTCTTGTGCAATGCATGGTGCAGGCCCCGAGCTGGTTTTGTAGGCATGGCTTCGCCTGTTTTCCGAGGGCATGGTGTGCTGTGTGTATACATATACAGACACGTGCCACATGTGATAGATGATGCTCGCATGCCATCACAGCAATGCACCAGGCAATGCACACAGCAGTGCACTATATGCAATGCACATGCACATGTCCTGCAGACCCTGCTGGCAGCTTCATAGGGGGTCGCCATGATGCGGTTCTCCATCGGAGATGTGACCGAGGATCGACCGGCCTTGTTCGTTCGCTTGGACCTTATAAATGATTTTTTGTTGCAGGAGTCCGTGGACTGGAGCTCCTTCATGCAGGTCGAGCTGCTAGGGGGCATGGAGGAGACGGAGGAGGCTTGTTGTATTTCACTTTGCTGAGTGCCGGTATATACTTGTACAATTGCAGGGAATGTGGACCAGCCAGTCCGGGGAGCTTCGCTGGACCAAGGGCAAGGGGTGGAGGATCCTGATCAAGGACGGAGGTCGGGCTTTCCGTCTGGGAATTCATTGTGTTGTTTTTTTAGAACAATATCCCTTGCAGGCATGTGCCTCTTCCGGCACCCGGACAAAAGTGCCGAGAAGCCACCCCCGGAAGGTCATTTGCTCGGAGTTTCGTATATGAACATATATATATATATATATCGGTATCTGCAGGCTGGGAAGCCCTCGACTTCGACAACACGTGGATCCCCAGCACACTGCGGTTGGAGGACACCTCTTGCATGGAACACCAAGCTTATATAGGGCATGCATGCATGTTGCCAGGGGGATTTCGATGTAGAGCCGCCGGAGGTGCCGAATCCATCGCTTATAACGAAGTACTCAATTCAGCCCTGCATGCAGGCACGGGAGCCGATCAACTTGGTGCCTGCTGCAGAGGCACCAACTCGAAAACCGCGAAGTGTCGAGCCCTGTTTTTGCATGCAGATTGGCAGGCATCAGACAATTCAGGCTTCGAGGAGCCGGCATGTATACTCGCTTATATATTGAACCTTTCTTATATGTGTTCTGGCAGGAGGTCGAAGTGGAGATGGAGATGGGCCCCGTGGTTCTGAAGCCGAAGGCTTCCATCCCGCCTTGGTAGATCCCTGCATGCGAGCTTGTCGCCCTGCACACGAGAGTGTCATGTCTCTGTGTGTGTGTATCTGAGTGTATAATCCAAACCCAAGCCCCGGTACCCTAACTATATATAACCCAATTATATATAGTTCTGGGTGCAGGAGAAGAAAATGCCCACGGTGCCCAAGAGGAAGTGGCTGCTTTCGGAGGAGAATGTTCTGTTTCTTTGTTTAACCCACTCCTCCTTTGCCGTTTGCAGGAGGGCAGTGGCAACAAAAAGGCACGAAAGGGAGCCGGTGCCCAAGATCGCAAGCATCTTCATTTTGGATAACATTTCTAGTGTTCACCCGACAGGGTTGGCAGACCACAAAGATGCCGAAGGCAAGGGTCCGTGGGTTTATAAGGGTTTAGGGTTTATAAGGGTTATAGTTATAGGGGTTTATAGGGTTTAGGGCGATAGATTCTTGGATACAATGTGATATGCATGTGCTGTCGCAGGTGGAGACTTCGAAAAAGCCCCGGGAGCCAGAGCATCCGCCGAAGGGCAAGGAGATGCGGTCATGCATGGGGTGCAGTGGTTTGTAAGCACGAATGCATGCAACATGTGGTGAGGAGCAGAGGGCATCCGGATCGGGGGGAGCCTCTTCCAAGGCCTGATTCGCTGATGCATGATGTCGTGGGTGCACTGATAACATGACACACAAACACAGAGAGACACACACACACACACACACTACACAAGCACACAGGCACACACACACACACACACACACACACACAAAAAAAAAGAAACAGACACAGAGGCACACACACACACACCGAGACACCGAGACACAGCACACACACACACACACGAAACACACACACACACACACACACACACACACACACACACGACACACGACACACACACACACACACACACCCAATCCTGACAGGACTCCAGGAAGTGGTGGCCACCGCCACCACCACCCCCTGCAGGGGGTGGGAAAGGCCATGCCCCCCCTCCCCCACCACCACCGGCGCCCCAGACTCCCCCCCCCCTCATTGCACCGGCGTCGGCGGTGGCCAATGGGCCGGTCCCACCGCCTGGGGCGGTGGCCAATGGGCCGGTGCCGAAGTGGGATGGAAAAGGATGGAGGATTGGGGAGTGGTGGATGAACCCCACCACTGGCCAATGGCACGGGCTGGGGGCTCAGCACTTCGTGGCAACCGGATCATGATGCATGTCTCGTGGCACATATATAGGCCTGGTGAAGGGCGATCGCGGCCACGGACTCGCGGTCAAGGCCGGGGAGTGCACGTGAACAACACATTGCGAAAGACATGCATGGTTGTGCACAATGGCAGGACCCATGAACCTGGCATGGGAATCCGTGCACAATCTGTCCGAGGCTGTGGTCGAGTGCATGAGAAAGGGTTAAGGGCTTATAGGTTGTCAGGTAGAAAAGCAGCAGCCACGAACGGCAAAGCAGCCACAGACTCACACAACACAGCAGCCATAGACACACAGAACACAGCAGCCACAGACTCATGCACACAGCACAGCAGCATAGACCCAAGCCCGTTTCTCGTGCACCGGCTGCGGCAAAGAAGCTAGGAAATTGACGGCACAGGCAGCGGGGCCAAAGGAAAAAGGCTTCATGTAAGGTCCGAACATCCGGGGCAAACTCGGAAGTAGGCCGTTCTAGTGCATAGGGGCTAGAACACAGGTTTTATAGATTGATATGGTTTTGGGTCCATGAACCACATAACTTTATAGATTGATATGGTTGTGTGTGCCTTGGACCCTGAAAGTTTATAGATTGATATGGTTGTCTGTGTTTTTAGGCTACAACTTTATAAATTGATAAATTGTGGGCTCCATATTGCCAGCGATTTTATAGATTGATATGGTTTGGGTTGTGGTTTTAAAAACCCTTTATAGATTGATAAACTTCGTGCCTAGGCTCTAGCTAGCTTGGCAACCTCTAGGCTGGCATCCTTTGCCTCGCTTCCGTGCGCTGTCCGTTCGGAACCTCAGGCATTTTGCCTCTTGTACAGAACACACTGTTTGAAGAAGGAAGAAAAAAGCTGGCTGCATCGGCTGCATGCACCTGAGATTGTGTGCACCTTGGGACAGGGAGTGTGTACCAGCCTCGCGAAGTTTCCATGTGTTCTGTGCAAGAGAGAGAAAGAGAGAGAGCGAAAGAGAAGCCAGAGGCAGCCCACAACACCAGAACTCGAACACCCCAAACAACAAAGCCACACAACCAGGAAGCACGAAAACACAGAAACACCAAAACACTTCTAACCCAGAAACACCAAAACACTGTTATATATATATATATATACAGTCCCACAATACGAAATCC